CCTGGCGGCCGTGGCGGCGGTGGCCGAGGGCGGCCGAGCGCTCCCGCAGCTCAGCGACGACATCCCGTTCAGGGTGAACTGGCCCGGCACCGAGCTCAGCCTGGTCGGTACCGGGGCGCCTCACGGCCGCTCCGCCCGGGGACGGGGGTCGGAGCCTCCGCGCCGCACAGCGGGGCTTGGGTGGGGCTGTCGCACCGCCGGAGGGAGACCGGCAGCTCGGAGAGAATCCCGGGGGATTCTGTGCTGATAAACGGCTTGGGAAGGGCTGTGGGTGAAGGGGGATGGCTGGAGCTGGGGGCTGTAATAAARGTCTTTGTATGAACGGGGAATGGGGGAGCAGGAGTGAGGGGAGCATGGAGGGGAGCGGGGATGTGGAGGGGATCGGAGATTTGGAGAGGATCGAAGATTTGGAGAGGATCAGGGGTCTGGAGGGGATCAGRGATCTGGCTGGAGGTGGAATGTCCAACAGCAAACAGCTCCCAGACAATCTTAATCACCAAAACCCAGTCTTGTGGTAAAATTAAATCCCAGGATGTACTCTGGAGCACCACTCAGCAATTCAGGGGTATTTCTAATGAGTAGCATTAAACAATCCCGCCTGRCTGATCCGTGGGTTGGTTGTTTCCTCAGCCGACGACTGGTGTCCTGTACAAGGAGGATAATTATATCATCATGACCACTGTGGACAAAGAGAAGTACAAGTGTCTCCTGCCACTGATGGCCAGTGGCAATGAGGTGAGTTCAGGCGAGTTATTCTGTGAATATAAAATGTAGACGAGCCTTTATATTGTCAGTTTTAATGTCATGAAATATCCTCCTGTTGCAGGAAGAAGAAAARGACTACAAAGGTCCTACTCCAGGGGAACTGCTGGAACCTCTCTTTAAGCAAAGCAGCTGTTCCTATAGAGTATGTTACTTCTGTGTTGTTCATTAAATGCCAATTAAAAGGTTATAGTCCAGTCCATGTCAAGGTTTAGGGTAGTAAATGAAATACTAAAGCTGTCTGAAACAGCCTGTAAACAGGTCTTCACAACATTATGTCTTAACATTGCTGACAAAATTCTGTGTGATTGAAGATGTCAGGATTGGGATAAGTGGGTTGCTATGACAGGAATTGAAAAATATGTTGTTTTTTTTTTTTAAATTTAATTTTTTCCTGTATTTTATTTGTGCAAAAGTCAAGTTTTCTCTGATGTGTTTGTTTGAGACCACTATTGAGACTACTCACTGTGCTCTTTTGCCCCAGCACTTAATGGCATTTCACGCTGCAAAAGCCAGCATTTGAGGGGGGTTGCGGTGTGTAAAGATACCTAAACATAATTTTTAAAATGTATTTTATTTCTAAGATTGAATCTTACTGGACTTATGAGGTCTGCCAYGGAAAACACATCCGTCAGTACCACGAGGAGAAGGAAACAGGGCAGGTAGGCTGCTCACAACCCCCTTCTCCACTGGCATGTTCCTGCTGAACTCCTCCAGCAGACTTGAATTCCCCAAAAAAGCTTGGAAAGTGATAACTGATGTTTATTTTGCCTTCTTTTGATTGCAGAAAATAAACATCCAGGAATACTACCTGGGGAATATGATAATGAAGAATCCATTGTCAGAACCAGGTGTGGTTTAGATTATTTAATTTTGCTGATGYTAGTGAATTGCTTGGGGTTTAATTATTCCTGTCTGACCAGTTTGAGAGTCCTTTTTTCAGGGAAGGATCCTGGTGCAGATCTTTAGAAATACTCAAGTGCCTAAAGTGGGACTGTGGTGGAAATCAGGTCACTGAGCCCCAAATTCAAATAGCAGTTTAGAATAACTGATTTTTTGGAGCACTGTAAAATAGTTCAAAGCAATCTTCAAAATCCACAGACTAAGTGTGCAGTCATCAGAGTTGATGGAAAGAACAGAATCAGAACAGAGAAACAACATCTAGGTTGGGGTTTTTGTTTCATTCTAGGCTAGCATGTAAAAGGTGAGCACCGGTGTTTTCCTAACAGTGATTAACTGGAATGCTGCAGTCTTTTGGGGAGGATTTAGTGCTGTTAATCCCATTCCTGGATTCCTGCCTGCAGCCCTCAGTTGGGGATCTTAGTCCTGAAAAGCRAGAGGGTTTCAGAAGCTGCTTTGTTTGGCCTTTCTGGGTGAGYGGGTTGCAGCCGGTGCAGAGGTGCCCCATTTTGCTGCAGAGGACACAGAAYGTTTAATTAAAGTTACCAATTGTGTGGGGCTGGATATTGAAGTGTGATGGTCCTTTAGGTCACCATAGCTGAGTCTGGCAGGCTCTTGTGCCTCTGCCCTTCCCGCTTAGGTGGCAGATTGTGTCCTGTGTCCTTTGCCTGCTTCCTTTCTTGCAACTGCTGCTCCTGCCAAAGTACCTGCCTGTTTCCTGTCCAACTCCCACCCTTCCCAAACAGCTGCAGTAACATGTTCTCCAGCCCTGCCTTGGTGTCWGGGCTGCATTTGGCCTGTCCTACCGACTCCAGGTAGTTTTAAGATGAACTGATTTGTATTTTGCTCTGATTGCTCTGSGTCTCAGATCACTGGTGATTTCATTTCTTTCCTCTTTTGCACCTGCAAGTTGCTCTTGGCAGTGTATGAAGTACCAGCAAATACAGAAACCAGACGAGCTTCTCTGTAAAAATTTTCATTTTATTTCAAGCACACAAACTTACCTCGTTCTTAATTATTCCCTAGATCAAGAAGAGAAGGAAAATTCCAAAGACGGTGCAAAAGAGGCAAGTGAAAAACATCTATTTTAACTTTTGCCATCAGTGTGAAGGCAATTTATCTATGATCATAAAATCCCAGAAGGGTTTGGGTTGGAAGGGACCTTAAAGGTGATCCAGTTCCACCCATTGCCACAGGCAGGGACAMCCTCCATTATCCCAGGTTGCTCCAAGCCCYGTCCARCCTGGCCTTGGACACTCCCAGGGATGGGGCAGCCWCAGCRTCTCTAGGCAATCTGTGCCAGGGCCTCACCACCCTCACAGGGAAGAATTTCTTCCTGATATCCAACCTAATGATGAGATGATGTAATTAGTCCCCTCCCAAAATGAGTGTCAAGAAATGGAACTGTTTCTGAGCTGCACTTTTCTAGCTTTTAATTATCAGTCCCAGCTCAGAAAGTTAATTTTGTCTTAATACTCAAACTATTTACTTAACAATTCCCTACAGCACAAAACCCCTAAGAGATGGAGCTAAGTTGCTGACCCATCCCATAAAACTCTGTGCTTCCCTTTTCCCTTAGAGAACTTCCCCACTTGTTTAGGCCTAAGCTCAATTCTGAGTCACTGATTCTATAGCAAAACAATAGGAATACCTGAAGCWCACTGGAGTTCGGAATTAGTGAGAGCAGGATTGACCGTATTGCCAGTTTCCTGTCATTTTCATGCTGAAATGATTGTTTTTGTGCCTGTGGTGTTTGGAGTAGCCCAGAGTGGTGTTTGTGCAGTGATCTCAGCAATACCCAGGCCTGAGGAGAATTYTGGAGGTCATTTGGGGGCAGAATGTGGCCTGTTCT